TTTTAGTAAATCTCCCCACAGTCTGGAGGTGTAGCACTCAGTTCAGCAGCACTCTCTGACCATCTCTCTCTCTGTAGAGGCATGTTGGTCAAGATTTCTAATTGTGTAATCCAGGATTGTGTATGTGTTAAGACCAGGGGCGGACTGACCACTTGGAAACTCGGGCACTGCCGAAGGGCCCGGGGTCAGTAGGGGGCCCCTGAGATACCCCTGGTACCTTTTTCATAGGTTTTTTTGAGTTTGGGCAAGGACACAGGTGCCCCATGATCCCCTATTGACCAGGGGCCCCATGAGTTGTCAGTCCGCCCCTGGTTAGGACACAGATTGGTCACCTCATTCCTTAGTATACTGTATATACCAGCAATTAGCTTACTCCCTCTAATTCTCAGAACTCTCTAACTAGTTTTGCACCAGCAGAGTATGTGTACTAACCAAGCAGTGACCATTCTGCAGTGTATATACTTACAGTGGTTTCTAAAGGCAATTTTCTATTTTTTATAATTAGAATTAAAAAAAAAAAAAAAAAAAACCCAAAAAAAAACAAGAATATACTTACCATGAATATCGTTGCACAGAGCTGCTCCAAAAAAGCCTGATGAGGCATATCAAGGTGTTGTCACGCATACTGTAACTGGGCTTTTTTTGTGGCATTGGTGTAGTAAAAGTGTCTTTCTGGCAACAGTACTAATAGCACAATCAAGGCTTTGAATATCTTTTTATATTCTTTCCATCTTTATAAAGTTCCATTACCTTGTTACTCAGGTCTTTTGACAGTATTGCTCTCCATGGCTCAGTATCTAGCCTGCTCAGTGCATCCACATGAGAGCTAACAAACTCATTGACTATTTATACACAGGCACTAATTGCAATTTAAAAAGCCACAGATGTGAGAAATTAACCTTTTATTGTCTTTTTAACCTGTGTTTGTCACTTTGTGTGTCTGTACCAAGGCCAAACATTCCAGGGAATGTTAACTTTTGATCAGAGCCATTTGGGCGATTTCTGTTGTCATTATGCTTTTAAAAGGAGACACGCAACTATGTGATAAATGGCTTCATATGATCAATATCCTTAAATAAAAAACTGTTTTTTTGGCATGAACAGTCATATTTTCAATATAAATGCCAAAATATCACAATTTCTGTCAGGATATGCAAACTTTAGATTGCAACTTTGTCTCTAACCTTTTGCATTCTGGAACAAGTGGTGATTTAGTAGTTTGGTGATGTCATTGATTAAGGGGCATATTTTGGAAATGCTACAGAGGTAAAGGCTGAAAAATGTGAATGATTGGATGTGGGACTGAAAAGAGATCAGATTCTAGTATTAAATCCAGCACCTCAGAATGAAAAGAGGGAAAGATTAACATGCTATTGTTCTTAATGGAAAAGTCAGGGGAGTGGGCACTGGGAATAAATATGACCTCAGAATTTGAAAGACAGTTTGATTCCGATATATCCAGCCTAGACACAACATATACTTCCTTCTCTGCCCTCATTTTTCTGTGCGTACCCTTTAGTCGAAAGCAGATGTAGATTCGACCCATACCCCTTGGGCCTCTTCTTTTCAATCTATTTCTCCACTTGCCTTACCTAAACAAACTCCTATTAGACTGTACCAAACCCAATGGAAAAAGAACCAAATATGCCTGTAGAATCAGAGGACTTGCAGACTGTAAGGTAAGCACCATTGGTAAAAGCTCTAAAAATGTAATAATTCTTGAAAATTCATGCAAAATTTTATATGGACTGTATTAGACCCCAGTCCACCTGGCTTGATTATCTTTCTACCTGCTTCCGTGATGTCCCCAGGAACATACAGTGATCCATATCTGGTGAATCTGTCCAATAATAAGCAGACTCTGCATATGGGTTTACAAACTTATTTGTACATTAAATCATACAAACCTTCTTAAAAGAGAACTTCAACGTTTAACATGCTACACCTGTATACTGTTGCAGCAAACCAACGATTGAAACGAATGAGATTTGAAATTTGAGGTCAAAATTAACAGTGGTCAAAAAAGCAATAATCTTGCTTTCGTAAAAAAAAACTTGGTTTTATGTATAATGTTATTTGATACATGTTTTCATTAGAGAACTGTTAAAGTTTTTATATTCAGCTAATATGTGCAATGCCATTACAGCCAATCGAGCTTACAGCTTTTTGTTTTGTTTGTTTATGATACTAGAGATTTTAGTTGACTAAAATCTACTGGAGATTTTAGTCAACTAATATACAACTACAACTAAAACAAAACAAATGACTAAAATTAAAATGGCATTTTAGTCAAAAGATTATGAATAAAACTAACCAAAATTTTATGTCAAAATGAACACTGTGCCCGGATTGTTTACAGAGAGTATGGCAGGCAGTGAAGAGGTGATGTGTTGCCTCCTCGCTGCCTGATAAATCCCTTTAAATACCAGCACTGATGTCCATATAGACATGTATTAATTGTAATAGTAACACCTGCCAAAAGCTGCATGAAGTTTAATTATTGCCGTGCCTGCATGTCAACAGTCACCTGGTTTTGCTGCCCCCGTCCACACATGTGAACGAGCCCTAATGCTACAGTGAGCATGTGCTGATAGGTTAAACCCAACCAGGGCTCTGTGTAAAAGAGTCCTTTCAGAGATAGTAGAATAGAGCAAGAGTGACCAAATGGGCTCCAGGAGCAGATGGTGAGAGGACAAGTTTAGCAACATCTTCAGTGGTTAAACATTCAAAAGAGGAGAGTATTGAGTGTGGTGGTAGTCATTGCATGTTAATTTGCGGAGATAACTGGACAGTGGAGATCTCTGTAAAAATTACATCCATCTTGCTTTTGACATGATTGGCAATACTAGTTTTGGAATCAGTAGGCAAGATGTACAATAACTGAGGATGTCACTACAATCTGTGTCCCCATCTAGAAGATTTCTTTATAACATCCCCAAATGGACAGCCAAGGCACAGTTTGTTTGTTTTTTTTTTAAACCTTGTGGAAAAATAAAATAATGCCACAACAGTCTTAACTGCTATCAGAGATAGCCACTGGGAAATTCTGTGTTCCAGCACTCTATAGTTTTTTTACCCATAGATCTGTCTGGAGAATAAGCCCAGTAAAACTGCATATCTGAAGCTTGTCACTATTTAATAATTTCCCGGTGAGTAAATTAGCTTCATCATTAATTATACGCATATACATTTAAAGGGTAGAAATACCAAGATAATCTGGAAAGTTAGGCTGGATGTAGATGTGAACACCCCTCAATAGGATCAAAGATGACAAAACATCTGGTTAACACGGCTCAAATTTTGAGCCATTGGGTTGTGCTAAAAAAGCACCATACAAGGCAACAAAAAAAGTCAGTTCAAAAATACACTGACCCAGTAACAGCATCTTTTAACCATTGTATTTGGGTAGCTGCAGGTCCTCCCCTGCTTCTGTACAATAGCCAGCAGTGGGAATTCCTGCATCCATCCTGTTAGCAGGATGGAGAAATGGACTGATTTTCTCGATTTGAAAAATGTACAGCTACCTTTAGTCTTCAATGACATCTCAGCTTCCAAGCCACCAGCTACTTCCATCTGTTAGTCTTCAATGACAACCGCTACCCTTTACAGCAGGGATACTCAAACTTTTGAAGAGCAAAGGCCACTTAAGTGATTTGGTAACCAGTTGTGGGCCACAATGAAATGGTTGAGAATTTTTTTAAATTCTGAATAGGATAATTAATATTTTCCTCCTGCAGTTGTTGAATGCCGGTGGGGAGAGCAGAAGCCACATTTAAGCGGTTGCAGGAGAAAAATAAAAAGAGGATCGATTTCTTTATATGCTGCCTGCAGCCCTTTCTATCCAAGTGAAAAACAGAATGTGATAGGGAAGCTGCACGGGCCCTCTGCAGCATGGGTGGGGTCACCATTGCAACAATTGATGCTACACCAGTGGTTGTGAGGGGTTTGGTAAAAATACGTCTCATGGGATTTTACTGCCCCCAAACCGCAAATGTAAACTAGCCCTTACTGTCCTGAGCCCCCTATAAGGCTGCTTTCACGCTGATACACTGAGGACTACCCTCGGGTTCAGCACCGTGCATCTTTCCTGGGGGTTAGCAGCCTTTTGCTATAGACTTCTATTATATCTTGCGGGTGTAGTGCACTTTCTGAAAGTGCATCAAAACTCCTGAATGCAGGACTTTTGGTGCACTTTCAGAAAGTGTACAAAACCAGCAGGATATAATAAACGTCTATGGTTCAGAGTAGCTAACTCGCAGGTGCATGGCTGGCGCTGCACCCGTGGATCAGTATGAAAGCAGACTAACAGATGTGAACCTTTTATAGGTGCTGATATACCTATTGTGAAAGCACAGTGTATTTGTTTAATACACTAACCTTTTTTTCTTCCTCTAGCTTCTGCTGGCATTGCTCTCCAGGCTGCTAGAGAGGTCCCAAATGAAGTGCACTTGGTATCACTTCACCTAAGACAGGAGGTGGCACTACAGAGGAAGCATAGACTTATGTGGCTCCTGCTCTCTTGGCAGCCACCTGCTTCTCCCTCTGCTGGCGCAGGCTCAATGCATTCTGCTGCTTTGGGATGGTGGGTCAGCAAGCCCAGATCCTAAACAATGGGTTGCCACCCCCGGGCATGCACTTCCCTGGTTTGAGGTTGAAAGCCACATCAGAAGGCTCTGAGGGCCACATATGGCCTGTGGACAACAGGTTGAGAACCCTTGCAGCATGCTGAAAAATCTGAGCACAACCATTTTCTTCCTATTTTCACCTAGGGACTACATGACAAACCTTGCATGCAATATTCTAAACGTCTAAAATACTACGTGGACAGAGTAGAGCTTTTAACTCATACTCTATATTGAAAACGTTTTGGCTGGAGGTCTACACGCTAACCCAAAATACTCATAACAGGCAAAACTACCTGTGCAGCATGTCACTCATGCCAATGTGTTTTTACTCAGTATATAAACAAGTACTCATTACTGTAGGTTTGTAAACATTACCCATTTCTCTGAATTCTTCATTAATCAGCTCCAGCCAAGCCACATCCATCTCATTTAGGTCATAGCGGCAAACTCCTTCTGCAAGTGTCCTGATGTCAACATATCCTAGTTCTGGTGGATCAGATCCAGACGAGTGGATGTACTTGCGAGGTCTACTGTATGTGACTATTTTCTCTTTTTCAGCGATCACCCTAAAATAAAAAAAAAAAAATCATAAATTTTCTAACAAAGCATAAGCAAGTCTGTTTCAGACCTACATATAGTCCATATCACACAAAGACAAGAAAAAAAAAAGCAGTACTTTGTATTTCAATGTCTTTTAGGCTAGGTTCACACTAGTGCAGTTGTGATTTGATCTGGTTTTCAGTGTGATTACATAGTGTGGCTTGGTTGCATTTTGGATTGTTTTTGACACCACTGCGTTTTTTGGTAGGGGAAGGAGACTGGACGATGGTTAAGGACCAATGATTCATACCTTAAACCACTTTAAGGTACTTTTAAAAGGCAAGACATTTTTTTTTACTTATAAAAATGTCCCAGTAGTTTGATCGTCCCCAACTATGCAGCTAACCTGAATATTTTACTGGCCCCAACCACAAGTGTAAACTGAGCCTTACAATCACATTGCTCCAAACACTTCTGGCAAAGGACTAAAGATTCTGTAGCAGACATTGAAAGATTATTACAAACCTCATACTTTTTATTTGCCCTTAAAAAAAACCTTTATTGAAGTAACATTTTACTGAAATTACCATAACACAGCCCACAATAGCTTAATTGAAAAAAAAAACAAAAAAAAAAAAAAACACAGCAACCAAGCGGACTAGAACTGCCGTGTTGAACCAAAGCAGGCTTACTAATCATAACCTCCTGAGTTATGGAAGTCCTCCTTTATATAAACCCACCACCCTAGGGAAGCCTCAGTTTTGTAGCAAGCAATAGCCCCAAAATAAAGGGGATGGATTCTGTGTCCCATGATGTACTCCAAGAAACAGATTTTACAGGCAAGTACAAAAATCCAGCTCTTTTTTCCCCATACATTACAGAACACAGAGCAGGCTTAATAACCATGACCATCTGGAATGTCCCAAAGCACTGCTCACAAGGGGAGGGAACACAGCCACCACCAGGCCCAAAGCTACACTACACCACGGCACTCAAGACACTGCAACTGAATGCAGTATCTTCTGCGGCAGCCATATATGCCTTATAATAACTTCTATGACCAGGTAGCAGCTTTACATACCTGTTCTGCGGAGGCCTGATGATGGATCACTCAAGAAGCCCCTAAAGTCCTGGTGGAGTGATCTGTCACACGAAATGGTAGATTCTTACCTTTCAAGCCATAGGCCTGAGCAATAAGCTGCCAAATTCAACACAAAATGGTTGACTTGCTAGCCAAATGACCATTCCTAGACCCTTCTGGAAAGGCAAAGAATCTGACTGCCTTATCAGAGTGGATGATTTCAAATACACCTTTATGGCCTGTACTAACCATCCAATGTATGAATGGTTAGTACATGATTAATATGAAAAGATGATACCCCCTTCAGCAAAAATGATGGAACAGGACAAAAACACCTTGTCCTTGTGAAGAAAAAAAAATGTCTCTCGACAGGAAAGAGCTGCCTGTAACAACATTCTCCTTGCTGAGGTAATAGCAACCAAAAAGACAACTTTCCTGGTCAAAGGCACAAGAGGAATATCCCCAATTTGGTTCAAATGGAGATCTCTGCAAGACTCAAAACCAAATTTAGACCCCACAGGGGCAATGGAGGCCTAAATCAGAGGGACCATGCAGGTAACCCCTTAAACACGCGTACTAACAAATGTGAAGCAATTGGCCTCTGAAAAAAAATACCAGAGATTTGCCCTTTAATCATACTCCGGGCCAGCCTTAAGTATACTCCAGACTGAAGAAAAGATAAAATCAATCCTATACAATACGTACAGAGATGGAATTTCCTAGCCTCACACTAGGCTATATAGGATTTCCAATGCAGACGCCTTATCCTCCTTATTTATGTATGATGTCCCGTCAGTAGCGGTCACGGATCGCACGGTCGCCGCCACCAACAAGCGACAATCGCACGACCGGGACTAACAGTAATACGTCACGCCCGCGGCGTCAGACCCCAAACCTTCTCACCAACTCGTGACCGAAGGACTGGCTGATCTAAAACTGCAGTGTGACGCGCGTAACAAGGCCCCACCCAGCTGCACCCTGCACAGCGATTGTCCAGCTAATGGGCTACAAACAGTGCCTGCAGCCTGAATGCGCTTGTTACTGGGTCGGGTTAATTACGCAACTGACCCTCTACTGCCACCACCACTTTTGTCAGAGACTAGGAAACTCCCGTTATCAAATATACACTATAATGATTGAAAGTCGCCTGTCCAATACGGTCACTGCAGGCCGATTGGGCAGGGAGTAAACAAACACAGTAGTGTCTCTTCAAAAGGCAGGAATTCGTGAATTGTAAGCGCTTAAAAAAAGTTTAACACTTTCAGAAGAAAGATTTATTACTAAGAGAGTCAAACAGGTGCAGTAAAATATTTACAAAGAGATGTCACTAAAATACATATATATATGTATATAAAGATACAGCAAATAGATAATAGGAAGGAAATTAAAGAGTTCAGTTACTTGCCAATATGCCTTGGTTTCTAAGCAGATCCAAGTGCAGAGCAGGAAGGGTCTTTGATCTCCTCTGTTACGATGTTAAACTCAGGAGATGTGTTTAGCTAAACTAGCTTTCAGGCTTGCAGCCTGTCCTTTTTAAAAATCCCTCTGAAAGGGGGGTTGCTCTGACTATGCTGTGTTGGGAGGGGTCAGGAGAACTCTGAATTCAAACCCACATCTGTCATAATCCATGACGTGAAACATCAGGGGAAAGCCAGACTTGAGGAATGTTCAATTTTCTTTCAAGTCCGGGGAGAGCGGTCTTATCTGTTTTTATGATGGGTGAGTCTACACAAGTTTCTCAGGTCAGTGCTTTTTAAGTGAGAAAGGTTACACTTCTGCAGACAGCCTGGCACCGGACTGAGGATGCCTTAACTTGGGTTGACCCCCCCATCTGTCACTCAGGAGATAACGTTTGCCTCTCAGGAAGGGAGGGGGTAGGGAGTGAATGATCGAGGAATACCTCAAATAAAAAAGAAAAAGGAAAAAGGGGAACACCGCGTCCAACTCTGATGAGCAAGTTTGCAGTAGCCACCAAACCTGATAAACACAGGGGTTCCGAACCACACACCATATCTAGCTCCTCAAGGGAAATCGCACTGGCAGGACGCTGTCCAGTGTCCTTTAGACTTGACAGCAGTGGCCACATGCCCCTCCCAACCGTCAGCCCCCTTCATCGCTTTCTATTACACATAGCAGCTTGCTGATTAACACCTGAAACCTGTGCCCCTCCAGACAGTTTCACATTAGCAGGGAGGAAATAAAAACAGTTTCCCAAGAAAGTCTGCACTCCAGCTGCCAGCGTCCCTTTGTCCCACAGGCACCTTCACCCAGGAGCTGAAGACACTAGCCACTATTGTCAGCATAGCAAAGATCGATGGGACTCTTCCCCCTCCAGTTCGGTCACCTGTACTCCTGTGCACCTGCCTCTTTCTGCAGTAAAAATAGATATCCTTGTGCTTGCAAGGATTCCCCCAGTTCTGAGGTTGACAATGTGCTTCCTCACGCAGAATCTCTGGCCACAGAAAACCCCTGGAACAACAGGAAGTGAACACTGGCCAACAAGCTTTACTGAGTTAAAGAGCGGCCCCACAGACTGCTAGCAGCAGCACCCTCTAGAGTGGAGGAACATAATGACAGGTAGCCAAAAAGAGTCAGCTCGGATACCGCGGATACAGGGATCAAATGATTTACCATTCCTGCTGTAGGGTTCTAATTTTAGAATAAACAGGACCAAATCTTCATCCATCATGGTAGGCCCAGTCTAACTAGACCTTCAGGGACTCTATACCCCTTCCTGGGGGTCCAACGCCCTGGGCCTGTAGAGCACCCTGCCAGAAGCACCTTGGTCAGCAACACTGCACAGGGTTCCATATCCAAAAGGGACCAGTGCTGAAAGCTCGCATTACAGGCAAAACCTTGTGAATCATCCAGCGAGGATGATAATCTGAAGTGAGGGCCAGGTACCATTCTTCTAAGTATGAAAGCCTCAGGACTGAATCCAGAACACCAATCTTTTGATCCCAACAGGGAACCTTTGAGAATCTGGCAACTTGTGTAGAGAGCTGCACTACAGGGACCATCACATACAACAATGTTGAAAAAACTGATGCTGTGCTGGGGAGGTGGGGTCATATAGATAAGGACTTCCTGTTTTTGATTCACCTGAAAGTGGCACATAACCCCGGTGGTCATGATCATTAATCCTGCTCTGTGTCTTGTGATGTAAAAAAAAATATAATTGTGATCGACATGTACATATATTTCATTTGTGGGCCATCCATAAATTTTGTAGGCAAACCCAACCTAAACCGGCTTAGGAATTTTCTTACTGAATATCCTCTGCATGTTGCAGGTCATCCATGTGAAATGATAAACCTTTTTTTTATTTAGTAACACTACTGCATTATGAACATGGAGTACAGGGAAAAAAAAAAAACTGGCAGTCCTCAACATCCTATACGAACTGGGTGGTATTTCAGATATGTACTATAACCTGTAGGTGCTAACCAACGTAATCCAGCTTTTTCTTCTCTAGATGTCATGTCATTATCAACATTTGTTGGAAAAATAAATCCCTATGCATATCAGAAAGTTACAATGAAAGGAAAAATAAAATAATTAAATGCAGGTAAAGATCTGTTGTATCTCCTCAGAAATCTTCTAAATAAATATGAATGTGAAATATACAGGCAGAAAACTTGATTCGTCTTCCCACGCCTGTAGACTGCTGTTTCACTTCACAGTGTGAAGTCTCTCAAAGTGCATCCAACACTGAACTGCAACTAGAAATTAGTCATTGATTTTCACCTTACACACTCAGCTGGGGGGTACTCAACTTGAGATCAATTTGTCCAGGAAGACTAACGTTATCAGGGGTAAGATACTGCAAAAGAACTTTTATTCAACCAAAAGTAATGACGTGAGGATATTATCCCATTGCAATTCTACTGAGTAACATTTTGTTGCAAAGTGCACTCCAGGGAATATTATGCCATCCAAGTGTAA